CAGAAGAAATGTTGTGCTTGAAATAATCAGCAGTACGAGGCATGCTCGTAATTCACTTAACTTCATGGTTTGTGTCGATGTTGCTATTTGACGTCTGTGACGTAACCAGAGATGTATTTTCAGTAATAATACTGCATTCAGCACTCCGTCGATAGCAGTTTGAATTGTACATGCTCCGGAAAATAGACCGTAATAAACTGAGAGAAACCCAGAGTTTGGACGTCCGTAGCATGCAATTTTGTTGAAATATATGTTCCAGTCAGACTCGACAATAATTGGTATAATCATGAGGACAGCTGTAACGGCGGTCCCGACGACGAAATACCAGGCGTAACGTGATGGTAATTTCCCGAATTTCACAGGGAACTGAATAGCTAACAGTCTGTCAAGCATTGTTGTGACTAACATATTCCCTTTGAGTGTATATAGCAATGACAAAGTACTGCGATATAGCTTGCAGCCGAGACTTGAAGTATTGTATACTGAGAAGAATAAAGCTGCATTTGATGCATACGGAACACCCTTTGCAGGTATCAGTCTCAGTGTAGCCTCGAGAAGACAAGCAAATAGATCTATTAAAGAAAGGACTCCGAGATAGATAACCTGTCTGGTTTTGTGTCGATAACCATGAAGGAATATGATGGCGTTAATCATATTGCAGATGACATTGAATAAAACTACGAAAGGTAAGAAGTAGGCACATAGAACACCAACAAGTCTCGCCAAGTTGCACATTGTTTCCGTTGACTTTGGACTATCACGTTTCACATTCTCGCATTCTCTGAAAATGTCCCATGCAGTATCAAAAAATGGATATGCGGAAATGTTGTACAGCGTCAGCATTTTTAATGCACCAGTATCACTAATTCACCGAGTAGATAAAAAATCCACCTGTATATATATCTATACGTGATTGCAGTCAGCCAAGTCTCATTCGACACAACCGACTTACAACAGATATGTGAAACGCCCTGAATTATTGTTTTGTTTTTCATACTTAAATAAATTTGTGCGAAATACTTTGTTTTCATGTTCAAGTAAACATAGTGAAAGTTTAGGGAAAACATACGTATTGTTTTTTCTCTCAGTCTGATGTATTTCGTTTTAGACATACTGTCGGGAGTAAACATCTGACTGACTAGTCGACTTCTGAACATTAGTTAGACTGTTGTACTGCTATACTTTGACTGAACTAGCATACACGTATATCTTAGTACAGATTGGTGTACATCACTGAATTCCGCTAGCATTTCGTTCTTCTCGGCTTTTACATCAAGACTAATAAGTGTGCCATCAACATCAAGGACATAAGAATCCATTTCATCCATTTATCATTTCGATGGACCATTTTCAAGCTTACCGATGAAAAAATCGACAGAAATTCCACCTGATGAAGAACTCATGACAATACCGACGAGCTGTTTGTAGGAAACGATATTCAGTGGGAAGGGTACATTCACACTGCATCTTCTAAATAGGTCGTTGTGACTAATAATCATTCAATTTGCTTCTCACAATCATTTCCATCCGAGATGCAAACGTCCAAATATAATGTGAATCCGGAGCACCACCAGGTTTTCAGTCGAGATAAAATGAGCTAATTGGAGATATCAGTATGCAAATAAAAGTTTCATTCACCCATTGGCAACAGCTTTTGTCTCATGAGACTACATCTTCACTGCCGGTGGGTGAATAAGTCTAACTAACGTTCAGAAGTCGACTAGTCAGTCAGATGTTTACTCCCGACAGTATGTCTAAAACGAAATACATCAGACTGAGAGAAAAAACAATACGTATGTTTTCCCTAAACTTTCACTATGTTTACTTGAACATGAAAACAAAGTATTTCGCACAAATTTATTTAAGTATGAAAAACAAAACAATAATTCAGGGCGTTTCACATATCTGTTGTAAGTCGGTTGTGTCGAATGAGACTTGGCTGACTGCAATCACGTATAGATATATATACAGGTGGATTTTTTATCTACTCGGTGAATTAGTGATACTGGTGCATTAAAAATGCTGACGCTGTACAACATTTCCGCATATCCATTTTTTGATACTGCATGGGACATTTTCAGAGAATGCGAGAATGTGAAACGTGATAGTCCAAAGTCAGCGGAGACAATGTGCAACTTGGCGAGACTTGTTGGTGTTCTATGTGCCTACTTCTTACCTTTCGTAGTTTTATTCAATGTCATCTGCAATATGATTAACGCCATCATATTCCTTCATGGTTATCGACACAAAACCAGACAGGTTATCTATCTCGGAGTCCTTTCTTTAATAGATCTATTTGCTTGTCTTCTCGAGGCTACACTGAGACTGATACCTGCAAAGGGTGTTCCGTATGCATCAAATGCAGCTTTATTCTTCTCAATATACAATACTTCAAGTCTCAGCTGCAAGCTATATCGCAGTACTTTATCATTGCTATATACACTCAAAGGGAATATGTTAGTCACAACAATGCTTGACAGACTGTTAGCTATTCAGTTCCCTGTGAAATTCGGGAAATTACCATCACGTTACGCCTGGTATTTCGTCGTCGGGACCGCCGTTACAGCTGTTCTCATGATTATACCAATTATTATCGAGTCTGACTGGAACATATATTTCAACAAAATTGCATGCTACGGACGTCCAAACTCTGGGTTTCTCTCAGTTTATTACGGTCTATTTTCCGGAGCATGTACAATTCAAACTGCTATCGACGGAGTGCTGAATGCAGTATTATTACTGAAAATACATCTCTGGTTACGTCACAGACGTCAAATAGCAACATCGACACAAACCATGAAGTTAAGTGAATTACGAGCATGCCTCGTACTGCTGATTATTTCAAGCACAACATTTCTTCTGTATGTCCCAGGTACTACGGCCTCGGTTTTCGCAGTGTCAAATGCATTGTCTAAAGATTCAAACGGCGCGCTCGCCAAGGTACGTCTTATACTGAATTTAAGAGAGATATTTTTCATTGTCACGTATATGCAGTCAATATTTAACACAATCATTTATATCTGGCGAATGGAACAATTCCGTCTGTCATTTTTGTGTATTGTTCAGTGCAAGCAGTTCAGGCGATTTAAACGATCACACAAACCATCACCGAACGGTGTTCATCACTGAACAGTCTACGCATACAATGTTCACAGTTGACACCGAATCGACTGACCAACTGACCATATGATACGCATGTGTATTTATCAAGTTGAAATAAGCCAGTTTACTCAGACTGACACAAAATGGATTTCAATGGACAGTTATATCACTAATTATGTGGTGTTTAGAACGACTACGTACTCACGCAGCGGACAAGGTCCGCTCACTTACTCGCCTAATTATACTGGCCAACCTGCTGACTTAGTCAACCACTTGACTGCTCACTTCAACACTTGTTGAATTCTACTTGTCACCATCTGCATATAAAATGATAGTTGTTCACTTGGACTAATTTCTACACTGCTTTCATCCTCTTCATTTTCTAAATGGCGATTGATTTTTACCTGATGGATTCAATAAAATCAGTCTGTTTCTCTTCATCATACCACTCTCCCATATTCAGCCTTTCCTTCATATTCATTCTCTGGGATATTTGAATAGTTTGCTGTGTAACTACTACCCACCCATCATTATCTACATACCTGTGCAAGCAACTAACTTCAAGATTCAAGACCATGTCATACGCTCATTGTCACATTAGTAGTTTCTCATATCAATACACATATTATTGAAAACAAATGTGTACATAATTCTATGGCCGTTATTCGACACAATATTGGCTTCGTTTACAATGATGAATAAATAAAACGTTATACCTGAAGCGTCTGTCTTTGTTCTATTCATTGTCTGATTTGGCGTCAATTTCGGTGGGAATTCCGGGGTTCGTTTAATTGGGGAATTAGGCATGTGCCCCAATGTGTCTAGGATAGTAACTCTGGCACATACCTCCTGGTTGATACCGGAGTTATTCTTTACTTCATACAAATGCTTAAGTAGAGGCAAGACGCCTAATTTTGCGCGTCTGACTTCGAGCTGCCTACAACACCTAAATTGAAATCTTTGGGCAGAAACACTGACACTTGACTTAGGTTGAAGCGGCAGCTCATATGGATTTTCACTTTTGCTGACTAGGACCTAGCAATTATTTTAAAAGTCTTCCTAGCACGGTACGATTTGCGAGTGGATACTCGAAAGAAACGACCAACATCGAGAGAAATGTCCAGGTATGTGAATGGCATGGAAGGCGATCACATTTCACTAAGCCTAGTTCAGACTCTACCAGTATCAACTGAGACGTTGCGGAAAGCACTGGCGGAATTTCCTTCTCTAATGGCAACCAACCATAGAACTTTCAAGGTTTGTTCAAAGGTTGCATATACCATAAAGACGAATGATGCCATTTCCTGTCAGG